GGCTGCGCAACCTGAGAGATTGGTACGGATGTACATCAAATGAAACTTTTCAGAGCAGCCTTCTCAAAAGTCTAGAATAGCTATGATGATTGCCGACCTCCGCCGCGGAGATGGCACTTAAAGAAGAAGAAATAAATCATAGTTTATTAAAAATGTATTGCACTTTTTTAGATTATGATTAAATCTTCTGAATAACTAGTCATATTTGTATAGTAGTTTTAATATTATTGAGTCTGGCCCTGATCCCACCGCCATATTGGTATCATCTTTAGCCACGTCTACCTACGCCGTTGTTAATACATTCGTTAATATGTCATAGCTCCATAGATTCTAACTCGATGAGATAAGTTATGTTATATATTCATTTCATGCTGCTTTGTCCAAGTTCTGCTGACATATTTTGGTTTACCAATGACTTGGAGAGTAAATTTATGGTTTGTTTTATTTATAACAAACATACATCCTAGAAAATATGTTGCTGGATGTAGTCTCTTATGTTCGAACACGATATACGATCTACATATACACGAACTCCCTTCCTATGTAAAATTTTGTGAAATACTTATGCTGTCCAAAGCTGTAATAGGTTGTTTCCCATTATGTTTAATATATACCTAGATAACACATCATTTTAATTTTTATACCAAGAATATGCAACAATATGGGAATTCTCTTACACGATCACACCACCCAGATTCTACATTATGCGGATAACCAAGTTATTTTTGATCAGGGCATATGACCAGAAAGTTAATTGAAATTTACGTCAAACGGGAACAGTTAGTATAATTGTCAAAATTTTATTTTTAAGAAATAGTTAACGCTATGAGTGAAACTGATCGAACAGAGGGCGTCCGGATAGACAGAAAACTAAGGAAACGGGAAACGAAAAGGAGCATTTTCATTGCACATCACAATCTGGGTAGTCCAAAGTCTTCCAATAAGGACTAGCGAGCTTTAAAAAATGATAACGGCTATATTTTTGTAGCTGCATCTAGAAAATTGGCTGTCATGTATTTAGTCTGGTTAGTCAAACTACCATGGTCGAATATAAACACAACATGTACAACAACATGAGTGCAAAAAATTGTTGTATAAAAATGGGTATTCTGTTCGCGCAACGGTACATTATGTACAACGTCGGGCATGTAGTGGATAAATTTGAGTCCTCGGCTTGAGCACCTATACGTCGAAAACGAAAAAATCTGCCGAAAACATTGCCACTATCCGTGAGAGTGTACAACTTAACTTACCCAGAAGCTGAAGGTAAACTACCATATACAACGACATATGTTCTCTGGATGAGCTCTTGAGAAGGTGGAAAGTGAGCCTAATTTTCATCGAAAATCATCTTCAGCAATAACGCCCATTTTTAGATACATGGTTGAGTCAACAAAGAGAATTGTCGAATTTAGGATTATACCAATCCAGATGAGATCCAAGGGCGTCCAATATATTTCAAAAACTTTTTGGTGCTTTGCACACTAAAGACGTGGTTTTAATAGGACGACGTACGTGCACCCAGCTCATGCTACATTAGATATTCTAAACAAGCGATTTAAAGGCATGGTTATCTCACGTGAAGGTGATGGACTGGCCAACAAGATCGTGCGATTTGAGCCAGTTAGATTATTTCTTGTGGGATTTTCTTATGATGCAGGTCTATGCGAATAAGCTACAAACCAGAGTAGCCCTCAAAGCTACCACAACAATCACGGTCAATTAAGTTATGCCCATACATTAAATGAGGAGCCTTTCAAGATAAAAATAAATAGACCTCTAATAAAGACCTATAAATATAAAAACTTTTGAAAGTAGTTTCTCAGCTCTATCCTTAGTTCCAGAACATGAAGATCGTTCTAAGAAAGATCTTTGAAAACATTAGAAAACAGACTTAGATTTTTGAAAACATTAAAAATATTTTGACAATTTTATTTTCTAATTATTTCATTTTTTTAAATACACAATTGTTTTCAAGTTAGTTAAGGTTTTCTAATATATTGATTTAGTTATCAATGTTAAAAATATCTATAAATTCATTTGATTATCGCCAACTAAGGCATACTCATAACAATAATAGCTATCTCTGATTCATGCATTTATCGACATTCTAAATTACTAAAGGCGATAAAACGAAATATTTGTGCAAACAGGTCAACGTATTTCGAGGAAATGTAAATTTGCTTCCAAGAATTACATTCATTGAATCACGTATTAACAGTTTACAAGATATATTAGAGACTTGTATGCCAATCAAAACATTCAGGTATACAATTCATTGTGGTGATGAGAAATAATCCAAGTAGATCAGGGAATCAAATGAATGATAGCACTAGATAAAGAAAAATAAGTTTAAATCACTCTTAAAATTAATTTTCTTTTACATCGTAACTCAGCAAAACTATTTATTTATTTTAAAAATTATCGTTTGAGAAGAGTTTCTTATCTAAAAAAAAATAGAAGTAGAAACATCAATAATAGAAGTTTATTTTAAAAATTGTAATTCATTCCTATTTGTATATTTAGCTAAAAGTATACCTTTGATCAGTTTGATTTTTTGTCTAGTTTTTTTCTCTTGTATTTTACATAAACAATATTTATATCATTTTTTATATCAAGAATTTTTATTTCCAAGAATATCTTTATTTTCGTTTTTTAAATTAAAATTGATAAATAATTTAGGAGATATTTGTAAAAAATCAGTTCTTTTGTACTAATTTATAACTTTTATTTATTTTTTTATTAACAAAATAAAATGTAATTAATACATTTTAACATGGAGGAACTACCGTCTTTTAAATTTGTGCGAAATTTCCCCCCGATCGGTCAGACAGTTTAAAAGTTTTTTAAGTTACTTATCCCTGAGACTAAATATTTAAACTATTGACTTTTAATGATTCTAGACACGTATGCTAATATTTCCGAGATTTGCGGGGGGGGGGGGGGGTTGAAAATCATATCTCATTGTTAATATTGAGACAGACTATTCCATCCAAAAATAAGTAAGTTTTTACGGTAAAGATGATAATTCCTCGATGTTCAAATGTATTAATAACATTTGATTTTGTTAAAAAAAAATTAATAGAATTAGTTTAAAAAAACTGCTTTTTTGCAAATCTATCCGTAAATTATTCATTTATATTTAAAATATATCATTTAAAATTATTAAATATATATTATAATATAAAATATTTAAAATTTAAATATATCAATTTATAT